CACACGACATTATTGAATGTCCAGTCATTAGACAGATCCATCAGATCTGCTGCCATGAAGTACAGTACCTGGAACTTTGCAATTCCTTTATCCACTCCCGTGTTCTTCAGGATATCCTCATAATGCATCCAGAGTTTAGGATTGCATCCTACTGATCACAAACCCCTGTATGGTTAACCATCCTACGTGATGGGAATTTTTAGTCTTACACAGATAACACTCTTGCCAAACTATGTAACCCTTCATGTAGTCTATGGAAGCCGCATACATGAATGCTCATGTACCAAACTATGTTAATGCAAAAAAAAATAATACAAAGAACATTATTTGGCATTTACACATCTTTGAGAATCTGGCGAGATTTTCTGATACTATTAATTTACTTATATTTTTGGCTTTTATATTTACCGTAGTGCAGCGAGACTGTTGGTTACGCGAGTATTTAATGTCATTTTCTGGCCCTTGCAAAATGTGGCTGTCTATCGTTTTCAGCTGCCAGAGCTGTCACATCTGAAGGATGTGTTGAGAGGCCAGTTGTGTATCACTGCCTGTCAACCTGGCGTCACCGTCCAAGATCTATGGTTCTGTTCTCGTGTTGTTTCCGTACACATTTTAAGAATTTTTTGGGTTTGGGTTTGGCAGAGAACAGGTCACAATAGCGTGGCTGAAGTAAATAACCCCACACATGAAATTAAATGATAATATCCACGTTTCGATTCCGTCCTGAACCATTATCATGTAGTGACACTGCCTTTCCTCATCATAAATGGTCAGATGATCATTAATCCAATCTCAGCAGCGTAGCATAAATATGAAGGGAGAAAAAAAATATTGAATTAGGTGTCAAAAATTTTCCGTAAACCACCTTATGGTCTTCCGATTTTTTTTTTTGGGGGGGGATGAAGAGGATGGAGAGGCATAGGTGAAGGGAAGTTTAGAAGTGGGAAATACAGTTTTCTTATTATTATTATTATTATTATTATTTTCTACCACAGACGTGGCCACACATTTACAATGCTAACCAGCATATATACATTTTCTTCTGTCCTCCATGGACAGGGTTAGAGAAGTGTTAAACATATAGTTCAAGGGTTTATTGAACACTCAACCACAGTGAGAGGTATGACAGCAGGCGGGCTGTTCGCCTTGCTGACATTCCGATAGTTACTGCTATCTTTCGTTGTCGCGTCTGATGGATAAGGAGACAATAATATCGCAGAGAATCTAGGAGAAAAGCAGTAGGAAGACTTTGGGAGTGTCAGTGGTGGTCTGGTGGCGACAGACAGCGCATCACCGTCTTCATTTACAGACCTGTAGTATACCGCAGCGATTTCCGGCCCCCTTCCCTAAGCTCTTACTGGGGGGGGGGGGGGGGAGACGTGTATGTGTGTGTGTCTACTCACCTATTTGTGCTTGCGGGGGTTGAGCTCTGGCTCTTTGGTCCCGCCTCTCAACCGTCAATCAACAGGTGTAGAAACTCACTCCCACCCACACACAGGTGTGTGTGTGTGTGTGTGTGTGTGTGTGTGTGTGTGTGTGTGTGTGTGTGTGTGTGTGTGTGTGTGTGTGTGTGTGTGTGTGTGTGTGTGTGTGTAACCTCCACAATAACATCACATTGTGCACCACCCGCTGAGAGAAGGCTGGGGGGAAAGTTGGTGGTAAGTGGGGTGTATTGACAGTGGGGGTGTACCTGGGTGTGTGGTGGTGGTGAGGTGCGGAGAGCGGACCAGGCTCTCTTGCCAGCCAACAAAACTCATTCAATTCTCTTTAGATATTTGAACAACATCAGACAACATTTATCAGATACAGTTTATATTCCTCTCAAATCGTGGACACGAACCTGTTCATCTTTTCTAAATTTTTGGCGGCTTTGTTTACCATTATTAAACAGTTAATGAGTTCCGAAGCACCAGGAGGCTGTTTATAACAATAACAACAGTTGATTGGGAAGTTTTCATGCTTGTAAACTGTTTAATAAATGTAACGAAAGCCGTCAAAGATTGAGGAAAGATGTACAAGTTCGTAAGTACTTGCGTAACTGCTTCGTGAATCTGGCTCCAGAACAGTAAAATTGTGTAAGAGACCCGTCGTCAGTCTCCCTAATGATGGCAGCCGCGGGGCTGCCATCAGTCCGGTACCCGTCCTCAGACCAGCGGATGTGGTTTTGAAACACGTAGGGGTTAGTTACCAGGTAAGATGAGTCAGTCCAAGGTGGGTGTTGGGGACGACTTGGAGGAGGATGGCGAGGAGTTACAAGCAGCAGCAACAGAGCAGAGCAGTAGCAGAGCAGAGCAATCCAGCAGCAGAGCAGCAGCAGCAGCAGCAGTACCACCAGCAGCAGCAGCAGCAGTACCAGCAGCAGCAGCAGCAGCAGCAGCACTAGCAGCAGCAATACAAGCACAGCAGAGGTGGTAGTGTACTGGTGTGGCCCGATACTCCAACGCCTGTGGCCTTTCCTTTTGGCGAGTATGATGTAAATTTCTCCTTTGGCGATTGACAATATCGCAAACTACGGCTACCTTCCCTATTCCTGGGTAGAGCAAGGTGAAGGAGATGAGAAGGTGGAAGTGGAGCATGAGGACCCAGGCAATAAGAAGTTAAACGCTCTTTGCTTTCCTAATCAACCGCAAGGGACAGGCTCTACGTAGGACTTATAGAAAGGAAGTGAGCAGGGAGGAAAAAGAAAGATATAGAGGGAGATATATATTTTGATGTTGTTATACCATATAATTATTGGGAGCCCTTATCGACAAGGTGCTTGCCGGGCCGAAGGAAAGATTGCGCCTTGAGGTACACCACCCGTTAAAGTCGGGTGTTTACAGGTTACAGTTGTGTGTGTGTAAACTAAAGTCTTTGAAAGTGTAATAGGTAATTACGAAACGCATTCAGGCGTCGCGTCAGACTAGAAATAAAAATGAATTTTGGAGAATTGATTTTTCAATTACCATCAACAGTAAAAAGAAATATTGAGAAAATTCGTGTTAGAATTATTAATCTTACTTTTTCGGTCATATATATATATATATATATATATATATATATATATATATATATATATATATATATATATATATATATATATATATATATATATATATATATATATATATGTCGTACCTAGTAGCCAGAACGCACTTCTCAGCCTACTATGCAAGGCCCGATTTGCCTAATAAGCCAAGTTTTCATGAATTAATTGTTTTTCGACTACCTAACCTACCTAACCTAACCTAACCTAACTTTTTCGGCTACCTAACCAAACCTAACCTATAAAGATAGGTTAGGTTAGGTTAGGTAGGCTTGGTTAGGTTCGGTCATATATCTACGTTAATTTTAACTCCAATAAAAAAAAATTGACCTCATACATAATGAAATGGGTAGCTTTATCATTTCATAAGAAAAAAATTAGAAAAAATATATTAATTCAGGAAAACTTGGCTTATTAAGCAAATCGGGCCTTGAATTGTAGGCCAAAAAGTGAGTTCTGGCTACTAGGTACGACATATATATATATATATATATATATATATATATATATATATATATATATATATGTCGTACCTAGTAGCCAGAACTCACTTCTCAGCCTACTATGCATGGCCCGATTTGCCTAACAAGCCAAGTTTTCCTGAATTAATATATTTTCTCTAAATTTTTTCTTATGAAATGATAAAGCTACCCATTTCATAATGTATGAGGTCAATTTTGTTCATTGAGTTAAAATTAACGTAGATATATGACCGAACCTAACCAACCCTACCTAACCTAACCTAACCTATCTCTATAGGTTAGGTTGGGTTAAGTAGCCGAAAAAGTTAGGTTAGGTTAGGTTAGGTAGGTTAGGTAGTCGAAAAACAATTAATTCATGAAAACTTGGCTTATTAGGCAAATCGGGCCTTGCATAGTAGGCTGAGAAGTGAGTTCTGGCTACTAGGTACGACATATACATATATATATATATATACATATATATAAGCAAAAACTGAATAAGTCAAAAGTATATATATATATAGTCCAGGCATATTGCTTTGAGACATAAATAGCTTTTAAATCATAATTTAGTAAACAAATAATTCTAGATTTGTCTCCCCCCCTAGTATGACAATAGAGACATAGAAGACGGGTCGCAGTTACTCGGCGCTAAGACTGTGTAATTTAAAACATTAAAACTGTAATTACTTCAGCCTCCCCTCTTCCCCCTACTTCCCCCGCCCCTGAAGCTGCAGCGTGTAGAAAACGAAGATAAATGTATAAAGAAGATAGAGAGGTGCAGGCGAAGGAAAATATTTTAAAATGTAGAGTAAATTTACGATAGCCGGTGAACTGTCCGCCTTGCTGACACGATAACTATGTTGCGTAGATGTTGTAGGCGAGGGCTTGAGAGGTATAGAGGTTAAATTACCTTCCCTCCTGGATCAATAATAAGCCATACACCCCCCGGGGGTCAATACAAGACTTAGACCAGGAAGGTCTTGTCTCTTGCATCTATTACGACAATATCACGGAGGCATTAGACACCCAAACCCAGACTTTATTTACACACATTCTGAAGAAGCATTTGGTTAATGTGCAGATGGGGTGATTGTCCATAGAATAATGGCTTAAGGGAACGTCATTTAGAGTAAGGGTGAGTTTACAATTTTATAATAAAAAGGTAATAAACAGCGGTAGTAAATCATATAAAACAAATACACAAATACAGTTTCTGTGTGTGTGTGTGTGTCTGTCTGTCTGTCTGTCTGTCTGTCTGACTGTCTGTCTGTCTGTCTGTCTGTCTGTCTGTCTGTCTGTCTGTCTGTCTCTCTCTCTCTCTCTGTCTCTCTCTCTCTCTCTCTCTCTCTCTCTCTCTCTCTCTCTCTCTCTCTCTCTCTCTCTCTCTCTCTCTCTCTCTCTCTCTCTCTCTCTCTCTCCCTATTACAATCATGACCCTTATCCCTGTGTAACTTGAAACTGTAAACTGTTAAGCCATTATATCCCACTAAGCCATGTTGTTGCCCCATCAGGATGCAGAGTGGGGTGGTGATGGGTGATGGAGGCGTGGTGGTGGAGACTGGTCGCCCCTCTCCCTCCCTCCTAGCACCGCCCACACAGGACAAGGAGGATGTCTTCTCCACCAGGTAAGTGTCTCAAACACCACCTTAATTTTTACTAGTTCATAGGGTTGTTTTTTGTCTCCCCGAAGGGAGTGGAGCGATCCTAGAGGTACAGCAATACCGGGCCGATCCGCGGCAAAGGTGGAGCAAGCTCCTAGCACTTCGCAGACCTTACTCGAGATGAGACTCTTCAACCTTGCTTTATTTTGTAGTTCTCTGGGTTGTATTTTTGTTTTTTTTTGAGAGAAATTGTGTGTGTTTGTGTGTGTGTCCTTAACTAGTTGTACTACTAATGATAGGCGAGAACTAGCTCTTGGTTCCCGCCTCCTAGTTGCCGTACCTGGTGTATATATATATACCTTCAGACATTTCAGAACTCTTGAGCGCTTACTTTTGACACGGCTCTGGCGACCTCTGCTATCACTTCATTCTTCTTCCGCATCACCAACTCTACATATGTGTAATTTTTCTTACATATTTTGTTTCAACGTTGCACTTGGTGTCGACTAATTCAGTTTCCTTACATCATAATCTTATATGTTGTGGTAATGTCTCCTCTGGTTTGATTGAAATTTTTGTTTAAACATTTCTTTATATCTCGGATCTTATCTGGTATAGTATATTCCAAAGTTGTCATGATGTAGGCTGTGTATACTGTTGTGTGTGTGTGTGTGTGTGTGTGTGTGTGTGTGTGTGTGTGTGTGTGTACTCACCTAGTTGTGCTTGCGGGGGTTGAGCTCTGGCTCTTTGGTCCCGCCTCTCAACTGTCAATCAACAGGTGTATGTGTGTGTGTGTGTGTGTGTATGTGTGTGTGTGTATGTGTGTGCGTGTGTGTGTGTGTGTCAGTGTTCTTGTGTGTACACAGGTAATTATGTACATATGTAATTTAAACATGCATGTATGCATATATTTATGTTATTACCGGGTGCAAATTTACAGATGAGCTCGTTTATGACTATAATATAGAGTAACACTAATTTGCGCGGGTAATTAAGCCAGGTCATTAATTCGAGCAGTATAATTTCATGCAGCACCGACCGTGAAGAAATGGACTTCCGAAAAAGGTAAGTTAACTTATTTTTGCCCTCTCGTGTATATATATATATATATATATATATATATATATATATATGTATGTGTGTGTGTGTGTGTGTGTGTGTGTGTGTGTGTGTGTGTGTGTGTGTGTGTGTGTGTGTGTGTGTGTGTGTGTGTGTATTATATTTCTTATACTCTTCTCAATTTGGGAAGGAAGTTGAAAAATTAAGTCTTCAAAGTTCATCACATAATTATATTGAGCTGTGTGCGTATCGCTAAACAATAACGCATTCCGCTGAAGCTCTCAACATCTTCGGAAGGGAAATTATACAAATTAGCAGCAGTAACGACACACATCCGTCATTGCCCAAGCGGTTCCGGCCCGGCTGGGAGGGTGGGGGGGGGGGGGCACAAAGTGTGATGCGAGTTGACAATTCAGTGTAGGCCTTGAGGCTGGTATTAAAGGACGTACCTCCACTGGACGTACCTCCACTGGACGTACCTGAGTGGACGCTGGCTGCTCATAGTTGGATCAGTAGTGTTTGATACGTAGCGCTTCGGCTATAACCAGTCCCCCCTCTTTTTATTTTTAACAGTCTGGTTGTGTGAAAAAAAAATGATATGATCTCTTCCATTCACCTGGACTGTGAAAGGACTTTCAGCTGAACCTTTTTGTTTTATATGATCTCTGATAAAGCATTGTTGCATGTGCATTGTTTGGCACCTTGAAAGATATTGCATCTTAAGAACATAAGAACAAAGGTAACTGCAGAAGGCCTATTGGCCCATACGAGGCAGCTCCTATCTATAACCCCCCAATCCCACTCATATACATGTCCAACCCGCGCTTGAAACAACTTGCTTTTATATTGAGACCGTCGGGGCTGACTGGTGCAATGAGAACGTATGAAACGTTATGGTGGCCTCGTGGACTATAATAATATGGGAACACACAGAAATCGCGATAGATATATCGCGATATAACGCGATAGATATCAATGAGAAAATCCAGCAGGGCTGTGAGGTGAATATGGCAACCTCGTATCCAGGGCTTTTTCTTGTAATAATATGGCCCCGGGGCCATATGAAGGTTTTGCCAGAGGTCACTGGGGCCATGGGGACGTACGAGGAGGCGTCGGACGGCGTGGGACGGCGTAGCAACAAGAATGGCAGCGTCCTGGCCAGGGGAGGAGGCGTCCTTTGGGGTGGGAGAGGGGGGGGGAGGTGTCGGCTCCGGACCTATCCAGTGCCAATGGCGGGGGCCATATGTGTTCAATCCACGCGACAGCACAAAGCCACACACCTGTGGATTGGACCATACACCTCTAAAGTGGGTCACACATACCTGTCGATGAGGGTACACACAGCTGTGGACAGAGGGCCACACACCTGAAGACAGAGGGCCACACACCTATGAAGAGGGCCACACACCTGTGGTAGAGGGCCACACAGCTGTGGACAGAGGGCCACACACCTGAAGACAGAGGGCCACGCACCTATGAAGAGGGCCACACACCTGTGGACAGAAGGCCAGACAGCTGTGGACAAAGGGCCACACACCTGAAGACAGAGGGCCACACACCTATGAAGAGGGCCACACACCTGTGGTAGAGGGCCACACAGCTGTGGACAGAGGGCCACACACCTGTGGTAGAGGGCCACACAGCTGTGGACAGAGGGCCACACCCCTATAGAGGACACACCTGTGGTCACGAACACAACCAATCACCTGTCTACATACATTCTTAAAGAACACTATGGGCCTCTCGGGGCCGGGGATTCCTCGCTCACATTTGCTCTTCTACCTACGGAACCTGTACATCTTTGTTCACGGCGGCATTGTTCACATTTATTAAACAGTCTACAGGCTTCGGAGGTCAACACTCCAAGGTTATTATTATTATTATAAACAGCCTCGTTGTGTTCCGGTGCTCATAGACTGTTTAATAAGTGTAAACAAAGCCGCGATGATTGAGGAAAGATGTACAGGTTTCCGTGGACATCCTTAAAAGGAAACTAGATTGTTTTTTCCAAGGAGTGCCGGGCTAACCGGGCTGTGGTGGGTATGTGGGCCTGCGGGCCGCTCCAAGCAACAGCCTGATGGACTAAACTCTCACAAGTCAGGCCTTAGGCCGGGCATGGGAAGTAGAAGAAACCCAGAACCCCATCAACCAGGTATGGGGGAGACGGAGATGCTTGAGGAAACTTTGGTGTCACTCTGGTTTACTTGCAAAGTGTTATACAGAGTAGTAACTATATCATTATTATTGTTAGTGTGAGACTGACAGCTCTGTGACCTAGGCTTTTCTTCCCAGGTCTCCCCCCAGGTCTCTCCCCCAGGTCTCTCCCCAGGTCTCTCCCCAGGCTCCTCCCCTAGACCTCCTCCTCCGCGGCCGTGACTGGAGTATCTATCGACCAGGTCTGGGAGGCCGCCTCCATATTCCTGGTCTGGGCCATCAGCCCCGCGGCGGCTGCTCACTTTCTAGTCTTTTGTCACCTTCTCAAGACGTGACGGTCCTCGTCCTTGCAAGGATCTCTCTCCTTATTCCTCTCTCGTGCTTCCTTATTTACTCTTATTATTATTTACATTATTATCATTATTAACAGCAGTATCAGGATGAATATAAATCGACCATTCATTGATTTCACTTTCAATCAATTCCTCCATTCTCTCAGGTACTGTTTCTCCTTTTCCTTCCCTTTCTTCTACTTCTTATTTTTCGTGGTTCTTTATCCCTCTTTCTTGATGACGGCATCGCCTCTGTCGATATTTTCCTCAGCGTATTTTCCGAGCAATTAACGAAGATCTGAGGTTGATGGGGAATAGTGGCAGCTGCGCGCACGCTTCCTCAGCGCCTTCAAGTCACAACACTCCCTAAGTGTGACTTGAAGGCTGAGGACACTTTCTCGGCCGGTTAGTAGGATCTAAGACCCGCATTATGACGCCTATACACCTTGTGGACACCATATATAAAACACAACATTTTATCTCTCATTCTCGCAAGGTTTGGTTAAGATACATCAAAGGTTTGGTTAGTTTAGGTTAGGTTAGGTTAAGCCAGGTTTGGTTAAATTAAGTCAGGTTAGGTTAGCTATCAGGTTATGTCAGGTAAAGTCACGTCAGATTAGGTTAGTTTAGGTCAGGTTAAGTCGTGTCAGGTTAAGTCAGGTCATCTTAGGCCAGGCCATGTTAAGTCAGGTCAGGTCTGAGTAGGTAAGGTTATGTCAGGTCATGTTAGGTCAGATTAAGTCATGTTAAGTCAGGTCAGGTTTGAGTAGGTAAGGTTAAGTCAGGTTATGCTAGGTCAGATTAATTAAGTCATGTTAAGTCAGGTCATGTTAGGTCAGATTAAGTCATGTTAAGTCAGGTTAGGTCAGGTTAGGTTAGGTCAAGTAAGGTCAGGTCAGATGTGTTACAGAGGCAGAAACAAAACTGGGTTATGACTCCCCCTATTTTCCACGATAGTAAATGTGCAATGCTTCGGCTGCTTCTCACGCCATTGTAAATATGGGAGACAAATCGTGCTTGTATACCTGCCTTGACACGAATATTGGCACGCTCATATTGAGGGATGAGGTATGAAGAGAGACTGAAGGAACTAAACCTGACGATGCTAGAAAGGAGGAGAGGGGTCGAGAAATGTTACAGATGTATAAAATACTTAGGGGGGGATTGACAGAGTGGAAAAAGACGAAGTGTTTACAATTCATACCAACAGAACAAGAGGACATGGATGAAAGCTTGAGACTCTGATGTGTCAAAGAGCTGTTAAGAAGTTTTCTTTTAGAACAAGAGTAAAGGATAAGTGAAAACACCTAAAGGAGTAGGTTGTAGAGGCAAAGTCCTTTCATAACATTAAAAGCAGATACGATAGGAAAAAGATGAAAAAGCAGATGTTCCTGGACGCAGGTTCGAATCCTCGTCACGGCCCTTGTGGATTTGTTCATGATAGGGAAATATGTAAGGAGTCATATTGCATTAGACAACCGGCGGCAAGAAAAGCGGGGTCCAAGAGATAGAGCTCGATCCTGTAGGCACAAATAGGTGAGCACACACACACATACAGGGAATGGGAGAGTTTCTTTCACCCTGATGCGCCTGTTCACCTAGCAGTAAATAGTTACCTGGGAGTTAGCTGTTGTGGGCTACATCCTGGGGATGTGTGTGGGGGAATTGCGAGAAATATACAGTATAGTAGATATGATAGAAAAAAATAGGTCTGAAATTAGTGCATTAGACAACCAACGGTTATAAAGATGGGGTCCAAGAGCTAACAGTTCGATCCTGCAGGCATACATAAGTGAACACATGTGCACACACACATGCAACACATGTGCTCACACGCACATGCAACACATGTGCACACACACACAACAAACACACAACACACAGTGATATACAACCCTCCACAACACGAGAGGCAAGAGTATGTTGACAAAGCAGCAGAGTGTGGCTGTTACTAAAGACTTACTACATCTATGCTCAGAAATGGGTCTTAATCATGGTAGACTTCAACCATTTTAAGTTAGATTGGGATAACAGAGAAAACTCTACCTCCCCTCCCTCCTCCTCCGGGTACGGGTATGCAAAGAGCTAAATTCATGAAAACAGCGAGAAACATTGTTTCCATGTCACTTTCTTTCATGTTTCATGCAGACATGTTTCTTTCATGTCAGTGACCCCACAAGGACGAGGAGTAATGATGAACCATCCAGATTTCACTCTGATATTCACTCTGAAAGTGTCACATACTAAAGAGGTCAACTATGTGACCTACGTTACTACTGTATTTTGCTGTACTTCAGTCTTGTAGATAAACAAAATTGGTCAAACTTTCCTGTTATGGCGTGAATCGAACCCTTAGAACTTATGCTTGAGATCCGACTGCCAATGACTGATCACTGTGTATTAGGATTCGAATATCGTATGGAAATAGGATTACATTTTTCTGTGAGGGGGAATTTGAGATTGATGGGTGTCCCGTGAACCAGAGCTCCGAGGGATGACTCTACAAGAAATGATGGACAA